TACTTAGCATCTACTAAATTCTAGGCATCATTCTAGGAACGTGGGACAGATCAGTGAGTTTAAGTAGGATTCTTATTTGAGGGGTGTGGGAAGGGACTACAAGGTAACAATGAACATTCAGTATATTCAGCAGGCAAATTGCATGTTAGGTTAGGATAATAAGTACTATATCTTAAAGAGAGAGCGGGGAATTGGGGGTGAAGTGCAGGAGGCAGCATTAAATAGGAGGGCCTTATTGAGAAGCTGAGACTTGGGGGAAGGCTTGCGGTGAGGGAGTTAGCCAAGCAGGTATCTCAGAAAAGCCAGGAAGACGGAAGTCAGAGCTGTGACCCTGAGTACACGAACACTAGCAGAGATAACCAATGAAGTTAAGATTCCTGGGTTTCTGAAAGGAAATTGGCTGCAAAATGAATCCAGTGGGATAAACCATTTTCACTCCATATCCACTTGGTTTCAGTCAGAATCTGTCATTGCTAAAACCACCAACTAAATAGTTTTAAAGATGCAGTCATCTGTGTGTTTTTTTCAGTTCTCTTCAAAACATGAATTCCTTTAAACTCATAGTCCTTAAACCTCAGGAAACCCAGGGTTACTCCAGATCTTCCTGTAACATCATGGTCTTTTTGTTTTGCTTTGTTTTCTTTTTCTTTTTCTTTTTTTGGTGATGGGTAATTTGATTTATTTATTGTTAATGGAGGTACTGAAGATTGAACCCAGGACCTGTGCATGCTAAGCAGGCACTTTACCACTGAGCTATACCCTACCCCCAGTGTAGTGTTTAGTTAATTCAGCTATTCTTCCTGTGAGTGTAATAAAATTACATTTGGAAGAAAAAAAAAATCTCCTCTGCCTATTTGCTTTATATATGATGAGTACCACTCCAATTCTGTGCAAGTTTGGCCTCGGAGGAAGCTCTTCTGTAGCATATCTACAGGAAGGATTTACAGGACAATAGAAGACACCTTGGCCACGCTGGGGAAATGAAAGGGTTTTATTTCAGACACTGGGCATGAAGCTACCTAATTGAAATGGCAAACAAAACTAATCCACTTAATGTAATAAAGAATTTATAGTAATACAGAGAAATTCTTTAACATCGGCACTTCAGAAAAGAACGCAGGAAATAAAATTAGCCTTGAGGAAAGGAACAAAGCCATGAGATGAAATCCTATTACTGATGTGACAGACACTGAGATTACTGCTTTTGGTGTTCCAGCGTCCTTATCCACAAGGTAGTGCCTCACAGTAATTCCATTTGAAGGTTGAGTTGGAACTTGTTAGTGCCTGAGAAGGGAGGTTTCAGAATTTGAAGATGAACAGCTTTCATTAATCTGTCAGCCATAGCAGTAGCTAAAGAAAATACCCACTTTATTTTTTATTTATTTACTTTTTTATATTGAAGTATAATCAGTTACAATGTGTCAGTTTCTGGCGTACAGCACAATGTCCCAGTCATACACATATTTGCTTTCATATTCAGAAAACACCCGCTTTAGACTTAGATTTTAATTTTTGTGTGCTGCTGCATGCAAAGTATGGCTTTTAGTGACACGTGTACCAGAAGCCTGTCCCCTGTGTGTTTTACACATTCATGGTTTGCGGCCCAGTCCAGAAACTTTCTCAATTTTTCTAGAAAAGAAAAACATAATGAAACAGACCTTGATCATTTTTGTTCGAAAAGTGCAGAGATATCATGAAAAGTCACCTGTAGAGAGGGAAGAAAATGATCCCTAACTTTCTTTTTTTAATCCCTAATTTTTTTAATCTTTTAAGTTTTTCTTAATTTTCATCTCTGTCTTTTCTAATTTCTGGGCAATTCCCACAGTTTCAAATTTTTCTATCATATTTTTAATTTTGATTTAAATCATTTCCTTGTGTGTTCTTTTTCTGCAGCATTCTGCCCTTATTGCATAAATAAAATATCTTGTTATCTGAGAACATTACTGATATTTTTGGTGTCTCTTTTCTTCTCCCTCAATAATCATTGCTTCTTCCAAGTTGCTTTTTTCTGTTTGTTTTGGTTTCTGTCTTTCATGCTTTCCTTGATTAGCTTGTTGTTTAGAATCACACAAAAGCCAGATCCTCATAACCAGAATCTTTGGCTACTGTTTCCTGCAGTTCTTTAATTATCACGAAGTACGGTAGGAAGGGGATGGTAATATTTAGTGCATAGAAAAGCTACTAAGAGTGCTCAGAATTCTAAAACGGCCTCCATTTAAAGCACCAATAATCTCACATTTAACAATGTTTGATTCAAATTAAGCCTTAAGTTAAAAAAAAACTTTCAGCATTATTTTAAATATCCATTTTAGGGTGTTTGCCAGCTTCCCGGTAAAAATGATGAAAAGGTGTATCCACACCGGAGAATTGACATCAGGTATGACTCAAAACTGACCTATTACCTTTTTCCCTTTTTCCCTCTCCCCGTCCCATCCCATGTATCTTGGAATTTGCATCAATGTCTGGGCCCCCTTTCATTCTGAAGTTCCATATGTTCCTGCAGTAGACGATGTCTAGCCCGACATGACTGCAGAATCTCCTTTACTTTCTCTGGGTTTGCATCTCACCACGATGCCTTCCGCAGCTCAGAGTAGACCCTGCCTGGGGAGAGTCGGTTGTCATAGTGATACGCCTCTGCCTCCCTCCCCACCTCAGCTGACTACAAGGTTGAGGTCATTTGCAGGGTCTACCTGATGGCAGTCTCCCCTTCAGGACCACATAGACTTATTTTAGATGTTCTGTGCCTCATCAATTTTAAAAGTCCTATTTTTGCTAAATTTGAAATGTTTAGTAAAAGAAAAGTCAGTTGTTTATTAATTTTTTTTTAGATTGATACCCAAGGATCAATATTATTGCGGTGTCCTCTATTTCACTGGGAGTGATATTTTCAATAAGAACATGAGAGCTCATGCCCTCGAAAAAGGCTTCACAATCAACGAGTACACAATCCGTCCCCTGGGCGTCACTGGTGAGTGTTTGTGTCTTAGAGATAATCACAGGCATCTGGATATTTTGGTTTAGCAAATTGGTTTTTCTAAAAAGCCTTTAAGTAACTGTACCGGGTAATTGTAGTTTCTTTAGTATTGTTAGTCCCTCAGGCAACAAAAGAGGCTTTAATCCATAGGTGCTTCCAAGCCCTCAACTGAAGGCCCATGATGACAAGATTTATTTATTTCTAGCTCTGCTAAAAATGGATTAAATCCTTTCTACCTTTGATGGTCAGTAAAAAAAAATCTTATTGATCTCAAGTGTTTCTGTCTTTTTAAATGTACTTCCAAGACTTCTGAAGAGCCCGGGTTTTATTGCATTTAGTGCCAGGCCAAACGTGGTAGCTTCGGCCCCAAGCTTTTCAAGTTTCCAGAGTAAGGATTGCTTAATCTCTGTTTTATAGATCTTGTTGACATTTCACAATATACTGTGTGGTTTACTGTTCTCTGCTAGGAAAAGGAAGATTTTTGTCTTTTTGTCATCAAAGTGTAAAACAGGGCTTTCGTCCCTGGTAGACGAGGGCGGGACTTCTCCCAAGTCAGTGTGTATGCAAACCACATGAGGACCCCATGGATGCAGATTCTAATTCAGTGGGCTTGGCGTGGGCTTCTGCATTGCTGGTAGGCTGGTGGTGCCTCACTGCTAGCCCAGGGACCACATTTGAGTTACAGAGAAACTCACTCCAGTATTTTCTCTGACACCTGGTAACTACGGTGGGGGTCCAGTGGAGAGGAAGGCCATGAACTGGGGGCACTTCAGATGGTCAGAGTCAGCATACTCGGGTTCGTTTCATAGCCCCGGTCACCACGTGTGACACGGTGCGGACCAGGCTCGTGGGGGAGGATGGGGGTGGTCCATGTCTTGTTTTAGTGGCTTGGTGACTCATGTTTTTCTTCTGATGGTGAGTCTTATATGGCTCTCAGACGTGCACCCTCTGTAACCAGAGCCCAGACCTGTTCAGGAGGAAGGTGCTTTTCTGTCCCCTTGCAGGAGTTGCTGGGGAGCCCCTGCCGGTGGACAGTGAGAAGGACATCTTTGACTACATCCAGTGGAAATACCGGGAACCCAAGGACCGAAGTGAATGAGGCCGTCCTCCCAGGCACAGCCCCACAGGGGTCTTAATTTATTTCTTATCCTTCGCTATGTAAGGGTCTGTGGTGTTTTTAAATAATGGTTTCTTCTTCCTGCTGTAGCTTGCACTAATAGTCAATAAAACCTCTTGTATTATTATCAGATGATCTTGTTATTTTATTAGCAAATATGTTTAAATTCATGTACTGTTTGTGATCACAGTTTGCTAAGGGTCAGTAAGAGAGAATTAAGAGACGAGATGGTAGCAGATCTTAAATGGGAAGTTTTATTTTCTCATTTTTCTGCCCTTAGGCTATAAACCACATCACCTCACTACATTTCCTCCTGTATCACTGAGTGTAAATTACTCAATTAAGGTGGATCCAGAGGCTGGTCTCTGGGAGAGGGTTCAATATCTTTTAGAAACTAGAGAACTTCATAAATTTACCTTTTTTTCTTTGCTTGGCCCCATATTCAATTTTGTAATATGTATGACCTAAATAGAAGAACAGATGTGTGGTTTATCTCTCAAATGAGATCTGTAGCAGTGGATTATAATCCATCCATAAGAGCTTCCCTAATTAAAACCGCCTCCAGCATGCACCCATACGTACAAAATATGGCCTCTTAAACTTCGAACAAACCAAAATTTCACTTCTTTGCCCTGGTTTTCCTCCGACATAACTTTTAAGTTCAGATGGTCAAAATGTGTAAGTAAAAGCATTCCTTGAAAGCCCTAGCTTTCAAATACAGAAATTAGATAAATACAAAATATAAAAAATTGTCAAATGGTAAGTAAAGCTACTAAAAACAAAATATGTGAAAATGCTTTATTACTTGCAAAGAACTATATGAACTATATAAGATATTACCCTCTGAATCTTTTTTCTTTGTTAACCAAATTATTTTGGAGTGAAATGGCATTTCCCTTCCAAGAAATCAAAGAATATAAACAATAGAGGGTTTTAAGGAAAAATAAAGTATTTGCTGGGATAATTTTCACTGGTGAGGTTAACAACAAGATACTATCACCCCCCCCAAGTACTGTCAGGCACCAGAATGTCACCAGAAATTACTTAAAGATTTATTTGAACTGAATTGCTGGATCACAATTAAATTCGTTACAGAATCACAGCACTTTTCTGCTCAAATAGACAATGAGCCAAAGCTAGTTTCCATTCATCACAAGGCAGCGTCCTCAGTTCTCCAGCTCAGTCTGTTTTAGTTGCTCCAAGATTTGGTTTTGAGAGATACTCGTGTGGACAAGTTTTAAGTTAACGTCTGGGACTCCTGGCTGAAGACGAGCCGCTCTTTAGATTTTCTGGCACACTCTTAGCCGTGCGCTCTGGCGGGTGCCAGCCCCTGGACTTCGACAGGACAGTCCAGGACCACAGTCACAACGCTGGAAGATTTCTGGAGCTTGGGCAGGCTCTTTGTGCCCTCTCCTGGAGCAGACCTGTCCCTCCAGCAGGACTGGCTTGCAGATTTTAGTCCAAAAGTGACGAGCACAGCAAAGCCCAGGTCCGCAGTCGGAAGTTCTGAGGCAGCTTCCTCCCTCCTGTCCTGGAACAGGATCGACACGGGCTTTAGTGATGAGCGGGGAGCACCGTGGCACCTGGGGGTGCGACTGGGACGAGGCGCAGGGTGTGGGACAAGCCACAGACCAAAGGCAGAGCAGTGCACCAGCCTCCTGAGCTAAGAACCACCAGGAAATGCACATTTCAGCCCTGCCTAACAGTTTATTGTTTTATAAAGTTAAAACATTGATCAAAGAAAGATGGGCTGTCTAGCCTTGAGAAATGAAATAAATATCACCCATCAGTGTTTTATTCAATGGGATTTGTCCTGACACGGTGAGGGACCATTGCTTGCACAGGGGCCAGTTAAGCGGAAGACACAAACAAGAATGGCCAGTTCACCACCTTCCAACATTCTAGCGATTTTATATCAAAGACTGGAATTTGAGACTACAATTTTGTAAAAAAAAAACAACTTGGAGAAGGTTGTATTTTGTCCGAGGATGAAAAGTTATTGCATCTATGTTCATCTCTCTTTTCTTTTGGATTCTAAAGCTCTAGGAAGGGAAATTTCCATTTGTTAAATTATAGGCTGTAAGAAGATGTGTCTATAAAACTTAATTAAACAATTAAAGGCTTTTCTGCTAATCAGTCCATTATCATGGCTCTTCCCGGGTCCTCTTGGTCTGCCGACTACCTTTTACTGCTGCCCACGTGATCCCCGTAGCTGTTGGTGGAAAGAGATTAGAAACAGGACATGCTCTCTATGTGTTTCTAGGGTGGAGAGAAACAAAGTCAGTTTCAGCCTATCCTTAACAGCCTTGGAGGAGAAAATGTTTTTCTTAAAAAAAAAATACATATATATATATGTATATACATATATATATACATACACACACATACATGCTTAGAATGCTGCTCTTACCCTTACTGTCTTGTGAGTTTTTAATATTTGGCTTCCTCTTGGGTTTGTTTTCCCACGTGGGATGCTCAGTTGTTCCTTTTGTATCCAAGTCATCTTGGTCATCAGTTTGCCTTTCCAGTATCAGGGTGGCATCTTCCATTGCAGTACAAACATCTGAGAGGCAACCAGGTGTAGTTAGAGGATCAGAACCATAGACGGGCTCATTATCATACTGGCACACAGTTTGGCGGTACCTCTGCCTTCAGTTTATATATAACTTACTAGATTTCTGGGCATAGGCACTAAATATTTACATCTCACATATGGCAAAGAAGGCGGTGAAGTAATTAATGGAATCCAAGTGAAAAGGGGAAGAATTTGAAAGATTCCAACTTGAATCCTTCCTTTAAAATCATCTCCAAGTTGCTGGCAAGAGCTGTTGCCAGGACAGAAGCTACTTTGCTGCGTCGAGAAAAGGCAGCTGCATAAGTTCACTTCAAGAATGAATCCAGGAACCTGAAACTAACATGGTAAATCAATTATACTTCAATAAAAATTTCCTTTAAAAAAGGGAATGAGTCCAGGAAACCTTTAGAGAGTGCCTGTCATGGAATATACTAGTCTATGAGATTGGGGTGCTGTCCCCAGTTCGCTGAAGCACAGCCGTCCTGGGCAGCTCTGTACTGACTCACCATTCACACAGAGCGACCCCGGGCAACACATGGCATCCCGCTGGCACCGCCTCCGCAGTCCACAACAGGTAACACAGAATGGCTTCTCATCTTGGGGTCTGAGACAGAACTTCCTGGTACTGCAGTCCTTGTCAGACAAGCACTGTGAACCCTGTGAGGAGAAACTCTTGTCATAGGGCTAGAGAATCCAGCGCAATGAAGATGACTTTTTATATTCCAGGCGGGAGATGGGGGAAGCCAGATCAGCGTGGCACTTTTAAAGGCAAACCTCCGGCAGCATCTCAATTTTTCACTGTAATCAATTTTCTCCCACAAAGGAGAGAGCTCAGATCACCAACCCAGAGACCTATGTGCTGCAAAGGTTATTCATGTTTGGAAAATCGTCCCACTTTCAAAAATCAGAATTTAATTTTCTTGTGCTCTTTGTGAAAATGGAAGAAAATGTTTTCCCGTGTGTGTCTTACAGAAGGTGGTGAGATTTTTGATATACCTCTAGAAGCCATGCTGCAGTTTAATTAAATGTAATGTTGGTGTTTGTGGCTTTTCTGTTTGACCTTTTACTCTAGTGAATCATATCAATCACCATGTGCCAGGTAGCTCCTCGGTGAATCTCAACCCAGTCAAATGTCCTTTGATTTTTTGTGATATCTCATTTGCAGGGAAACAGATACCAAGGACTGGTTTTTCTCATCTACAGTTGATGCTTCTTCATGTAAATGTATATGAAAGGATCCATAAAATGATTCTGTGAAATGAGACAGTGACAAGCCCGTGCACCTTGGCACGCAGCATTTAACTCCTAACTCCCACATTCCCTGGCTGTGTGGCCTTGGTTAAATTCCTCAGCATCTCTGGGTCCCATTTCCGTCACCTGTAATTAGGAGGTGTGATAACTATCTCAAGCCGTGGGGAAGAGGAAATGAGATCTTGTGCATAAGAGGCCTGGCCCATGGTACAGCTTTCTAAGGTTAGTTTACTTGCTGACTGATGGGCCAATTTATAGCTCAGTGTCCTGACAAGTCACTCTGCTTACTTGGTGAGTAAAATTTAAGGCGGCTGGATTCTACCAGGGTGTCTTCCCAATTCCTAAATCCAACGCGCCGTCTGGATGAGACCTTTCAGCCACAGATCTGAGTGATGGTTTACACCTGAAATCCAGTGCCCCACCGCGAGCGCTCAGCCCTCCTCCCTCGCTGTGCGTTACCTTCCGAGCCCCCTGTGCGTCCGCAGAGCTTTTGATGTTGTTGAAATCCAGAACCAGAGCCCCCAGGGGAGCGCACAGCCAGCCGAGCCCCAGCAGGACCACTGCCACCATCCTCGACCTTCGAGTGCTCCCAGAGTCCTCCGCGAAGCTGGGCTGCACTCAACCCACAAGGGAGTTTTTTGCCAAAATGGAAAACTCAGCGAGTGGCCTGTGATCGTTTTTGCTGAAAGAGAAGCCAGTCCTTGTCTCAGGCAGGTGTGTGAATAGGACGAGCGAAGTCCGACCAGCAGGCTCCCTCTGAAACCCTTTATAGATGTGTGCCCTCCTCCCCTCTCCCTCCCCCCGCCTCCATTTCCTTCCTTCTTACCCCACACAGGCTTCAACAAATCCCTTCAAATCTGTTTGATCAATAGTTCAAAACAAGGACTCCATGGAGGGAGCACACTGTGCTTCTCCTTCAGGGGTTGAATCCCTCTTAATTATTGCTATCAAAGTTAGTTCAAAGGGCCAGCAAAAGAGCAGGATGTCGATATCAAAGACAGACTCTGATAATCACCTGCATTTCCTACCTTCAGTAATCCTTTAGGGGTGGAAGGAGTCTGTTCTAAGATCTGTTTTCACAGCTAATTGTGCTCCAAGAAAGAATGAATCATATTAGCCAGTATGCTATGATACAGGATGCCAGAAGCAAATGAATTACAAAATATACTGCGAAACTTTAAATCGTGCTCAGATAGCGAAGGCAGATGGGAAAGAGAGAAAATGCCCTCGGATTAGCCCTGGCATCCAGATGGAAAAATCCCTGTAGCTTCAGAGCTGTGAACCTATCCACACCTGTTCTGAACTAAACGTCAATTGGAAAATAATTCTCCTTCAAATAAAAATTGAACTGCTGGAAGTTAGGATTAGTTAATTAAGAAAATAAGGAGATTTATTAAAATTCCTCCTTTTTTTTTGATGGGGGGGACAACCACCGAAAGCTCATTTTATACAAATTCACACAATTCAGTAGGGGGTTCAGATACATTTTATGATGTAAGTTGCATTCGATCTGCAGTGGATAATTTGTGTTGTGTGATGTTAAATCGACTCCAGCAGAACAGGTCTCTGAGCCTCTAGCTAATTTCACGTGGAATTTCACGCATTTCAATTTTCTGAGTTTGAATTTCTTTGTGGTGGGGAGGGAGGTAATTAGGTTTGTTTATTTATTTACTTTTTGGAAGAGGTACTGGGGATTGAACCCAGGACATCATGCATGCTAAGCATGCACTCTACCACTTTGAGCTGTACCTTCTCACCTCCCCCCCATGGACAGATGCTATTTAAAATCTAAAAACGCATCTTTTCTACACCATCAGTGGCAATCTTAGCATTGCGGGGTCTTCCTCCAGAGCAAGCTGACATCAGTGCATTGGAATCTAGACATTTTATACCAAGGGACCACTCTCAGCCTCAAGCATTGCCTGGTGACCCAGTGACTGACGCAGGTGGTCTGAGACCCCGTTACTTGGCTATAGATTCCTGTCTGTAGATCTGCCTGTCTTACTATCTTATGGAGCAGCGGGAGCCACTTCTTCTGCGAGTTTTTTTTTTCCCCACATACACACCGACAACATCAAACACCCTTTGATAGTATGATCGGCCTGGTGACGAGGAGTGTTCCAGAGTTTATTTTGAAGTTGGACAATTATGACCAAAGATAAAGGAGAGCACCCCAGGGCTCACTCTCTGCTGGATTTCTCTGCTTCCTGTTATCTAACTGAAGAGAGAATATCTGGACAACAAAGGCCTCTAGCAAAACACACAGACGAAAAGGACTGGCACAAACATTCACTGAGCACTTTGTACATAGTAGAACCTGTGCTTGGATGTTGGGAATAAAAGATAAAACACAGTCCTTGCCCCTGAGATAAAGGTAGAATGTGGGGCTGCAGGCTCACAGAGAAGGGCATGATTGGACCTTCTGGAGGAATGAAGGAATGCATCTATGGAGGAGGTATTATTTGAGCTGGGTTTTGTGGGATGAGTAGGAGTTTCCTAGGTTGAGAAGCAGGGGATGGTCTCACCCCAGGCTCAGAGAGGGAAGTGTGTGCAGGGGCAGGAAGGTGCATTTCGGCTCTAGAGAGAGATTCTGTGGGACTGGTGATGGAGAGAAAAGTTAGACTGCAAAGAACCTGATACACAGAGGAAGAAAACTGGAAATTATTTTATACTCAGTGGGAAGTCATTGGAGGATGTCTGAGCTGGAACTTGGCAGGATCTAATTTGCTTTTTAGGAAAGCAGTGCTGGTGGCAGTGGGGTTGCAGACGATGAAAGTGGACGCTGAGCCAATGATGAATGCGGAGGAGGAGGGCCAGGGTAAGGCAGTGACACGGTGACCACGAGAACCAGCCAAGAGTAGGATTCTGCACCGAAGCTCCTTCACTTGATGTAGTGGGGTGGAGAGTGAGTGAGATGGAGGAGCCGAGAGAACCCTGACCATTTCTAATTCTGAGCACTGAAGACAGGGAATTCAGGATGGAAAGCCAGTTCGGGGAGGCCGGATGACAGCAGCGTAAGACGCAATCCACATCATCGGGTCTTTGCTGGGTATCAAACATGGAGACAGAAGATGAACCCCCATGTCTTCCACGAGCGAGCGATGCTCTCTATTTTGCTTCCCACAGACAGAGGGGAGGCAGAGATGCAGGCGCCAGATGCCGGGGCTACCAACTGGGCAACAAGACCTGAAAGCAGACTTCTCTGTCTCTGGCTTTCCCTCCTCCGCCTTGTAAGAGGGCTTTGGACTCAGGGCCGACTTGATTTGACCACCATGCTGGCCTCCCCTGTTGCCCTTGACACCCCCACTCCCCACTGCATCCACCTGCCCACCGTGATGTTGCTAACACTCTGTTGGGATTGTCTGCTTGTTTCTCTACAACAAGGTGATCGGCTCTGTGAGGGTAGGGCCGGAGCTGTTCATCTTTGTATCCTTGTGTTTTGAGGGCCCAGCACTTGACAGATGCCCCGTAAGTTGTTCTGCGTGATGGATGACTACACGAATAAATGGATTCACAGTAAGTTTGTGACCTTGAGAAACTTACTTCAACTTTCTAGGCTGTAATCTCCTCAACCGTACAGCGGGCACGACCTCCCCATAAGGACTCTCTTTGAGGGTTCAATGCGTAAATTCGTGTGGAAGGCCTGGTAGAGTGTTTTGCACTCGTAAGACTCCATTAATAAGTGTCTCTCACTCATTTCCAGGCCAGAACTTTCCACCCTCACATACACTTCAGTACCTAGCATAACACATGGCCCTTCCATGGAGGCTGTCAATAAAATTTTGTTCTATTCGGTGGGGAGGGGATAGCTCAGTGGTAGAGCACATGGTTAGCATGCACAAGGTCCTGGGTTCAATCCCCAGTCCCTCCATTAAAAAACAAATAGATAAATAAACCCAATTGCCTGCCCCCCCCAAAAAAGAAGTTTGTTCAATCCAAAGCACCGAAGAAAAATCTCCCCTAAATGGTCTATTATTTCTAGGTCTCCCCAAAGCCAGAGCAATTTTGAGGATATAAGTACACGAAGTCTCCCTGGAAGAAGACTTTTGGTGTATTTTATTTTTCCTTCTCTTTCTGTTGAAGTATAGTCAGTTTACAATGTTGTGTCAATTTCTAGTGTACAGTGACTTGTTTACACATACATAAATATATATGTTTCCTTCTTTTCATATTCTTTTTCATTATAGGCTATTACAAGGTATTAAATACAGTTCCCTGTGCTATATAGTATAGATCCTTGTTGTTTATATATTTTATATGTAGTAGTTAGTATCTGCAGATCTCAAACTCCCAATTTATCGCTTTCCCTCCTGGTAACCAGAAGTTTGTTTTCTATGTCTGTGAGTCTGTTTCTGTTTTGTAAATGAGTTCATTTGTGTCTTTTTTTTTTTCAGGTTCCACATATAAGTGATATCTTATGGATTTTTCTTTCTCTTTCTGGCTTACTTCAGTTAGAATGACAATCTCCATGTCCATCCATGTTGCTGCGGATGGCATTATTCCATTCTTTTTTGTGGCTGAATAGTATTCCAGTGTATAAATATACCACAACTTCTTTATCCAGTCATCTGTCAATGGACATTTAGGTTGCTTCCATGTCTTGGCTATTGTAAATAGTGCTGCTGTGAATATTGGGGTGCAGGTGTCTTTTCAAATTAAGAGTTCCCTCCAGACACATGCCCAGGAGTGGGATTGCTGGATCATAGGGTAAGACTATTTTCAGTTCTTTTAAGAAATCTCCATACTGTTTTCCATAATGGCTGCACCAAACTTCATTCCCAACTTTTGGTGTATTTTCAGATCAGCCGAGATTGCTTACCTGTTAATGATCGTAGTGTTCCTCAGCCAGGATGCCCTAAAGCTGATCTCAGTGACTGGGGATCAGGGATGATGGGGCAGCAGGAAGAGGATGACAGGGAGAGCAGCGGGGAGAGGAAGGCTTTAGGAATGTTTCTGCTTAAAAGGCATTTTCTCTGCTCTTAGGTCAGGGTCTGGAGTTCACAGTTGCAGTTGGCAGTTGGCAGAGCCTGTGCAGAGCTGGAAGCAGCACCTGGAGCCTTGGCCCCGTGGGCCACACAACCAAGGAAGCCCTCACGTGCACTTTTGGCCAGGATGCTGCCATCGGGCACCCCCTGGCAAGGATTGTGGGCTAATTAAAAATCTCCAGCTGATCCTCTCTGTGCCTCAGTGAGCACCTGGGTAAGAGGTACGCTGGAATCGAGCGGTATTGACTGAGCTCAGAGGAAGTGAAAATTCCCGAGAAGAAATTCCCCAAGGCCACTCACCCCCAACACGGCTGTGTGTTGAGGGCGGAGGATGCCACCCTCTGGGTAATCCCCAGCGGGGAAGAGGTGTGGGCCGGTGTGTGAGCGCTGACACCTGTATCCTCCCGGTGACAGCTGCGGCAGCTCACGTCAAAGGGAGAGTCAGCTCTGTGATTTATATTCACTGAGGAATGGAAAGTTCTATTCGTGACGGCTCCTGGGTCAAAACCAGGTGGATTTCCATAAATTTTGTTCTTCTTAAAAGAAAATCAAAGTAACCGAAACAAGCAGGTCTTTGGCAGAATCTCACAGGAAATGTTCAATAAATGAAGGATGATCGGGGCGGGATGAGGGCCCATGAAGACTGCAGGATGTACATAATCACGGGCAGTGTAAGAGCTACCAGTGAGTTACCTGAGGTCAGCAGGTGGAGCAGGCCATCGGAACCGCGGGGCAGCAGGCTTTGTCCCGTGTCTCACCCCTGAGTGTGGGCAGCTTCCGGAGCTGGCCTGGGAGGAGCCAGGGAAACCGGTCCAGCCTATCTCTGATTCTGCCGCCTTGGTCAGGCCACGTACCTCTCATCCTCAGCTCCCCACGACCACGACGTGATCGGTTTTCTAGGAGCTGGCGATGGTGGGGGCCCAGCCACGGTGTCACACACTCCGGGCCCCCTCTGGATTTGTGAAACCACGTG